GTTGCCTTGAGCCCCCAGTTCACGAAGGTATCTCGGGTTTGTTAATGCTTCAAAGGAACCATTGAAAGCACTGGAACTGCTACGGTGCCCAGGAGGTAAATGGTGAACACTATTGAAGATACTGACCTTTTACTGCTGGCCAGCACAGGTCTCCATCTATGGGAAGAACAGGGGTGGCTCCTTCTCCCCATCTCGAGATCTTTGTATACTGGAAAGCTCAGTCTGTCAGGCAACGACTCCAATTCAGTCTCATTGAAAGGAAGGAAGATACCCATGGGTCTAAAGGTCCTTCTCATTTTAACTTTGCATTATGTAAGTTTTTAAGTGTGCACCCAAAACGAGAGCACAGTAAAGCGGCAGTACCAGTCTGTGACCACCGATCGCTGTTGCCTCCCATGCTGTAATTTCACTCACAGAACTACGGTGTTTTGGCATTGACTCTGCCCAATGCAGTATGATGGTGCTTGGCATGGTGGTGCAAGCCTGTAATCCCAGTCAGCACTCAGGAGGCTGAGGCAGGAGGATCACCATGAATTTGAGGCCACCCCGGGCTACATAGAGGTCTCAAAACAAGCAAACGAAGGTAACATAGTGGCCTTTTCTCCATTCTCCTCCCGACTCCTCTCTATTGTGTCACATGTCCATCCCATACCTGCCACCATGACTTTTCAAAAAAAAAAAACAAACAAACAGGTATTTTAATAGGTAAAAGGGCAAGGGCACTAGAGGTGGCTAGAGAAGCTCAGAACTATCTTTGGAATTTATTTACTTTTTGACTCAGTCGGCAAATGTTTATGACCTATCAGTTCCCAAAGTCTCAGGGCATTCAAGTGTCATCATTGTAGGTAATAGATCAGTAGGTCAAAGGAGAGATGGGCATGGGGGAGGCCAGAGAGAACAAAGACTGACTTTACCTCCGGGCATCTAGTCATCAGCCTGGTAAGCTTTACTTATTTTTCCCATGTCGCATGAGCATCATAGTGTTTGTTAAAAAGAACTTGGGGCCTAGAGAGCTGACCTGATTATTTAAGGTCATGTGGCTGTTAACAGAGATTCCTTCTGAGGAACTGGATCACACACCTGGGTGGTCTAACAGCCCTGAGATTTCCAGGGTAGACCAGCAGCTTGGAGTCCCATGACAGCTGGTTAGAGCTCAAGTCCAAAGGTGTAAGGATCTCTGCAGGCAGAATGCCCACTTCCTTAGGATGCCTCCCTCAACTTTTTTCCTCTAAACACCTCCAGTCACCTGGACAAGGCCCACCCATGTTATGGAGCATCATATACTTTATTCAAAACCAGCTAATTGGGGCTAGAGAGATGGCTCATCAGTTAAGAGCACTAGCTGCTTCTTCACAGAACTAGGGTTTGATTCCCAGCATCGACATGGTAGCACTCAGTTGTCTGTAACTCTAATCTCAAGGAATCCGAAGCCCTCTTTTGGCCTCTTCAGGCTTCAGGCTTGCACGTGGTTCGTAGGTATACGTGCAGGCCAAAACACCCACACACATAAAAATAAACTAAAAAAAAAATCAGCTGATGAAAATGTTATTTCCATCTAAAGAATTATTTTAAGGAAACACATAAAATAATGTTTCACCAAAAAGCTGGTTTTTGTGGCCTAATTAAGTTGACATAGAAGATCAGCTGTCATAGAAGACAGAGAACAAGATTTGGTTCTGTGCATATGAAAAGAGAATAACTTGAGTTTATTTTAAATTTTTATTCTAAAAAAGAAAATAGGTTATTGTTTTTTTTTCCTTGCTCAAGTGTGACAATCACACAGGAAGGGACGTTAGGAACCATAACATCTTTAAGACCAAATGTCCTTATTAAAATGAACAATGATGAGAAACACTGTTCCCAGGGTTTAGGCCAAAAGGCCTGGCTCAGAGTCCCCAACATTAGAACTGACCACCTATTCCAATAAAGCCAAGCAAAGCAATGAATAACACGGAAAGTCAGAAAAGCGAGAGTCATCAGTGTGGGGTGCTGGGAAGAACAGATGAATGGGTTCTGTGGGCACAAGTTCACCTTCCAGGGGCTAACAGGACCTTTGTACAAAAGAGAAATGAAGGAAGAAGTTGGGTTGTGATCTATGATGTGGAATGTCCTTCTGTATATGTGTTGCTTTTATTGGTTAATGAACAAAGCTGTTTTGGCCAATGACTTAGCAGAGTAAAGCCAGGTGAAAAATCTGAACAGAGATATAGGGAGAAAGAAGGGAAAATCATAGAGATGCCATGTAGCTGCCAGAGGAGAGGGATGCCTAGAATCTTTCCAGGAAGACATGGCCTTGTGGTGATACACAGATGAATAAAAATGGGTTAATATAAGATATAAGAGCTAGCAAGGGATATACCTAAGCTATTGTCCAAACTGTGTTGTAATTAATATGGTTTTTGTGTGATTATTTGGGTCTGGAAGGCTAGAAATAAACGAGCGGTCTCTGTATACAAATGGCACCAATGTAGCCAACTACATCCACATAAAATCTGAGAGAGCTTGGGAAGACATTTCAGACACAAAAGAACAGAGTTAAGCATGGCTTCTTGGTAGCAGCGTTTTCTTTGGTGGGCTCTGTTTGCTAGAAGCAAGCAGAGGCATAATTCCTTTAAGAAGAGGCTTCCTGACTCAGTGTTAGCAGCAAAAACTATACAGCACCTTTAAGAGATGGCTTCCTGGTTTGTGCTGGTAGGTCAGTGGTTTGGTTAATCATTATCTCAATTATGATCCCACAAGGAGGTTGTGGAAAGTTGCTGTTGTTATTATTACTTGTTGGGACAATCTGGTTCCCATAACATGTTAGTTAAGGTTTCTATTACTGTGAGCAGGCACCATGACCATGGCTGCTCTTACAAAGGGAAACTTCATGGAGGCTTGCTTACAGTTTAGAGGTTTAGTTCATCATTGTCATGTTGGGAAGCAAGGCAGAATGCAGGCAGACATGGTGCTGGAGCTGAGGAGTCCTTACATCTTGATCCAAAGGCAACAGGAAGTGAACTGAGACACTGGGTGTGGCTTGAGCATATATGAAACCTCAAAGCCTGCTTCCACAGTGACACACTTCCTACAAGGCTATACGTACTCCAACAAAGCCACACATCCTAATGGTGCCACCACCACACATAAGATGGGTATTCCTGCTCTGGGATACAGCCTTGTCACCCTAGATAATTGTGCTCATTGTGGACGTAGAGGGTGATTTGTACTGTGAGGTTCCCTGGTTGTGAAGATTATTGCAAATCAGCCTTGTTGTTTCTGAAAGCTAAAGTAACTATAGAAAAGAATGGAAGAAAAAGTTGAAAAGGCAAATAAAGCGTCAGAAAGGAAGCATCTCTCAATACAAAGGCCATTGTTCAGAGTCTCTAAGTCTCTTTATTAGCTGATTATTAGATCAGTATAAATCTATCTTGATTGCCTGAAACTTTTTGTTTTGTTTTGGGGTTTTTCGAGACAGGATTTCTCTGTGTAGTCCTACTTGTTCTGGAACCCATTCTGTAGACCAGTCTGGCCTCGAACTCACAGAGGTCTGCCTGCCTCTGTCTCCTTGAGTGCTGGGATTAAAGGCATGCGCTACCACCGCCAAGCTTACTTGAAACTTTACAAAATCTGGCTTTAATGATTTTAAATTTGATGAAAAAGTCATCAGCTTATATTTCTAAAAATCTAGTTATGGTTTGTTGGGACCAAAGGGAAGAAGCGTTCTTAGTTGAATGGTGGAACTAGATGTTCCTATAATGCTAACACAGAACTACCTTTCCATTAAGAGGGCTGTCTCCCTCAACAGACAGAAAACTTCCCTAAAGCAAGTGTTCATTGTATTCATCCTTGTATCTCTAACATCTGTGTAAATGAAAATAAATGGAATTAAAGAGGCTAACATTCTAGAACTATCACTGGCTAACTTTATCCCTTCTGGCAAATTACAGAATCCTTACAGTCAAACATGTATTACAAATATCCATTGGCCTAAACTGTGCATGGCTGCATATGCTTGTAAGGCCAAAGCTAGGGAGGTTCAGGTAGGAGGTCAGTCTGAGTTAAAGAGGGAGATTTTATCTCAGAAAATAAAAGTCATTGTTCTAATAAAAATATAGCACTGGGAACACTTTGTATTATTCTACAGGTCTGTGTGTGGGGGTTCTTGGTTGTCTGACCCATCACCCACATTTCAACACTACTAGTCGTGTTGTGAAAGATGATTAGCATTGTTATTTTTCTAAAGAACAAGTTGAGATGTTTCTTTAAAATACAAAAGGATAAATGAAACCATGCCTTGTCCACGGTAGTACATTAGAGTCTGCTTGCTTTCTACAACTCGGGTCAGGAATTTGTTCCTATTCAGCCAGAACAGAGCTTCCCTCATTTCTGGGTCAATATGAGGTTTGACACCTTGTTATTGATGAGTGTGTCCACTAGGATTCAAATTGGTTCACACACACACACACACACACACACACACACACACACACACACACACGTTATATCCAGTTCCAAAGGGGAAGGTAGCCAGTATCATCAGCTCACCACTGAAAAGTAGTCCCAGGCTTTCATCCACGCGTGTTTCAAGAACAAGAGTGTATCATTGGGGGAAAAAAGTTAACAGTTAATGTTCATTGTAGTATGCTAGAACTTTCTATGCACTATCTCAAGTAACAACAGTCCCAGGTTGTGTGGGTACTAGTGGCTTTTACAGTTGGTCAGGTTCACAGAGGTAAAGTAAGTAACTTGCCAATATAACACCAACACCCTCAGAGGTGAACCGGGCAGCATCGCAGTCAGCAAACGCAATCTTAGAGGCCGACACCCAGTAGGGACATCTGAAAGCCTCAAGGGTCTTGCGATTTCGTTCAGAGTGCCGCAAATGTGGATTGGAGCGGTGAATTTCAGCATGGAAGACCGTCTATAGAAAACAGAGCCTGGGTCTTGTAGACCCGGGAGACCAAAAAACCGCGGCGAGGCTGAAGGTGCCGGAAGTGACGTCACACGCGGAAGTGGCGGAGGCGGCACCTGCGCCCTGGGGCGGGTGTCCGGCGCCGTCGGGCGACGGCTGTGAGAGCGAGGCTAGCGGATTCGGCTTCGGGCCGAGAACCTTGAAGAAGTAAGTCTTCTTCAGCGGGTGCTGGCGACGTGGCGCCTGGGGCAGCTGAGGCGCGCTCAGCCAGGCTCGCTGCCCACGACTCAGCCTGAGACGGTGGCACACGCCGGCAGGGAAGGGTTGGTACCCGAGTGAAAGCGCGACTGGCGCGGCCGCCGAGCGCATCCCTGGTGTCCGCATCATTCAGCCTCTGAATGCACGCGCGACTCCCGTTTTCTTTGCTTGCCCCCTCCCAGCCCTACGACGCGGGTGTAGAGGAAAACCAGGGCGCGCTTGTTTTTTAAAGTTAGTGAAATCTACAGAAGGGTCCCAATCTCTTGGTGGAGAGGATAAGGCGTTTATCTGGCTTCCTGCGGCCACCTTTAGTTTTCTGGGAAGAACTTCCTGGGATGCGATCCCAGGGAGGTTATCGAATAATAAATAAGCCGCTGTTGTCGCACCGTGCTGGTAGTTGATGTTATAAATGCTTTCTTTTTCTTCAAGAGTTCTTACGTTAGCAACCAACATTTGAAAGGCAAATGAGGGTTACAACGAATATAAAGCTAATTCACATGCTGCGTTTATAGACACAAGGAGAGCTTGTGGCAGCTCTCCCCCTACTCCCCTCCCCGCCAAAAAAAATCCAAACCCTTGAAAATTAAAGTGTTTCCTTTGTTAAAAACGCCCTTAAATGTAATGAGTTAGTATGCATCCCACAAAAGCAAGTCCTGTAACCACTTTGGGCTATCGAATGGAATACAGTGCAGGTGACACATTGTGCTATGTAATCAGATTGCGACAAGAGTCGCCCACCACCTACCTGCAGTCCCAGTGACGTGGCTGTGCATTGGCTATCCAGTGAAAAGCAGATCTTGAAGGGTTCCCAGATGTGTCATTAGATTGGGTAGGATGGGGTAGGAGACCATGGATTTATGTGGCATGGTTGTGTTTGACGTAAGAAACTAGTCAGCATCTTTAGATTTTAAACCTAAGCTTTTCTTCCAGTCCATCGAAAACTCTAAAAGTAAACACGTAAATGCCTTTTTACAGTAAACTTTGTGTTTGTCCACATTTCGATTTTTTCCCGGTCCCTAGGTGGGACTGGGGAAATCCGCTCACCCCATTGTACATGTTGTTACTCTGCCACCATGATAGAATGCATGTAATTATGTTAAAAAGGCATCTAAATTTTGAGCTCTTCTGGGTCAATATTATTGTTTATGTATAGTCTTGGCCACTTAAACAATGTTCAGAGTCATGTCCGCCAAACTGCATAGCTAAGTGTTCAGAGGACGTAGCTGCTGTCCATAATGAATTAGACCCAAGTGGCAACCTAGATATGTATATTGACATTTTTGAGGTTTTTAGTTTTGCAGAACCCTGCTACCTATGGACTCTGAAATGAGCTTCATGTAAAGAAACCCCCGACGTGTTCATGAACAAAACATGAGTCAGTTTGTGTTGTGGCATTCACATCCTCACACTTCGGGAGAGGTGAGTTGTTGGCTGTGTTTTATATTAGGTGACAAATTAGTATAGCCCTGGTTGAGCTGAAGAAATTCCAAGAAGGCAGGAAGACTTAGGGCCTACATCTCTGTTTTTAAAATCAGCATCTTCCGAGGAGGGACATGCTTTGTTTGTATGACACAGTGTGACCGTTTCTCTGTTGAGATCAGGAACGAAAGAGAAGAAACCTGGTATACTGTGGAATCTTTCTTTTGGGGGATTCTCTTTCCCTGCTTCCATAGTCTGGTAGGATTGGCCTGTGGTTACTATGTTAAAATAAGGGGCCAAATACTCATCTAAATCATGTGGTATTCAGGCTTGTCTATGAAATAGTGCATATCTCAAATCTCTTGAGTGCCTAGGGTTATGCAAGAGAAACAATATCTTTTTTCTCTTATCTTACCTTTTTTTAACCTTATTTATGTAGTTTCTTTTCCTTTTTCTCATCCCATTTTTTTAAGATTTATTTATTTATTATGTATACAACATTTCTTTCATGTATGCTTTCATGCCAGAAGAGGGCGCCAGATCTCATTATAGATGGCTGTGAGCCACCATGTGGTTACTGGGAATTGAACTCAGGACCTCTGGAAGAGCAGTCAGAGCTCTTAACCTCTGAGCCATCTCTCCAGCCCTCATCCCATTTTTTTTGTTCTCTCAGTCTTTTCTCTTTCTGTCCCGGGGCCATGTAAGGGTTCCTTTTCTCCCTTCACTCCTCCTGCTCCCTCCTCCTTTTTTCCTGTCTCCATTTTCCTCATTTGTTACTCTGCTCCTAACTCTGTAACATTGTTTGGCGTCCTCTAATCACTGAGCATTTACTTTATGGGTATTTTCTTGTCTCCTTTTTGGATGTGCTGGTTTCTTGTTTGCATTTGCTTCATTCTGCTAACAGGTGCTACTTGTAATAATTCACCTCGCACACAGAATTGTATTTGCACACAAATCTCTGCATATGATGATGTATCACAACGTTGTTTGATATGAAAAATAGTGACACCTAGAAATAAGCAATGCTACAGTGGAGATTTGGTTAAATACGTACCTTCATGCACGTAACATTCACAGCTGACGTAGTGATGGCTGGATCCAGGGGTGCATATGTGGAAGAATCTGCTGAGGTCCACTGTTAATGAGAAAAGCACTGGGGAACTGTGTGTGCAGCTTGCTTTCACTTGTGGTTTTAAGTGACACATGTCTGCATACACACATGCACGTGCATGCACACACACATGCGTATGCATAAGGTTTCTTCAAACCTAAGCAAAGAACTTGGACTAGATGTGTAAAGTGGGAAGAATGGTTAGGTGTTCCCCTTTGTACTTGGATTCCCCCCCCCCCAACAGATGGGTGTTTTTAGAGCACTGTGAAGCAAACAGCAAAGCTGTGGTCAGTTTGCTGAACATAGGAGCCCATCATGCCCCCTAAGACTGACTTTCTTTCCCACAGCGCTGTTAGGACTGGGGTTATAGAGCGCTCTATTCCTTTTTCAGGGTTGCAGGGAGGGTTTGGTGACATTATGTAGTTTCAACTTTCTCATCGGATTGTTGCTATTATGAATACATGCTGCAGAATTCAGTACTTGTGAACAGTGCCTGGCACATCTGACCTCTGAAATGGCTGCTCTTACCTTTGCTCTCTGGGTCGGCTCCTTTCCTTTGCTAGGGTTCTTTGGGTGGCTCAGTGTCACTGAATTCCCAGGATGGGGTTTGTTTCATTTGGGTGCCCTGCACCGTGGTAGTACTAAGGGTCAAACCCATGCCCCTACATTGTTCTGGGCTTGGACTCTTCCTTTCTCTGGATCTGTACTCTTTAAACAAATCTTATAGTTCTGTCTCATTTGCTCTTTCTTAAATTGAAAAAATTCATTTTATGTATATAAATGTTTTATCTGCAGCTATATCTGTGTACTAAACATGTGTGCCTGGTGCCAGTGGAGGCCAGAGGAGGAGCCGGATGCCCTGGAACTAGAGTTACAGACATTGCAAGCCACCATGTGGCTTGTCTAGAAGAGCAGCCAGTGCTCCACGTTCTCCATGACGTTTAGAACTGTTTTAAGACATTGAAGAGAATGACTTGTTCTTGCTCGGTAACATCAGTAAGCCAGAAAGAAAATTCAGAGGACCGTGTATAGGTGGTCTTGTTCTGTGTATTTGAATTGACTAATTACCTTGAATTCAACAGATATGTCTGGTGATTTTTATTTCTCCAGATTCTTTGTTTTTCAGATTTTTGTTGTAGGACATTTAGAATATTAGCTTTATTGCATTACAGTGGGATTGGGGGAATTTACTAAGAATGTAAAAATACATTCTTTATTGCATTAGTGAAACTTAGTTTGAGAGTGGGTGATACAAACTACATAGGTATCACTACACTGGCTGTGGATCTTGTTAAAGATCCAGTGAAAGTCATTCAATCTAGGTAGAGTTTAAGTTACAATTAATGGACTAGAACAGGTCTTAATTTGCTAGGTATTTAAGGTTTCTGTTTATTTGTGGCGCAGGGGATCAAACTGTGGGATTGTAGGTGCTGAGCATGTGCTTATATTACTGAGACGCACACCCAGCTATGGCTGGGATTTTGTTTATCTAAAATAAAGTCGGGTTATCCTCTGTTCTCAGACTCCTGAATAGTTGGGGCTATAGGCCTGTTTGTCTGTTTTTTGCTTTGCATTGCTTTAAGATTTATTTACTTCTGTTAATTTTATGTGTGGGTGTTTTTCCCCTGCATGTGTGTCTGTGTACCATGTACACGAATTACCTGCAGAGGTCAAAAGAGGTCAAGCGACAGATCGATTAAGACTGTAGTTACAGTGGTTGTGGGCCACCATGTAGGTGCTGGGAATCAAGCCCAGGTCCTCTGGATGAGCAGCCTGTGCTAAGGCCTGAGCCATCTCTGCAGCCTTAGAACTGTGTTTTATATTATTAGCATAATTGTTTGCATTTTGCATGCAGTTGTCTCCATTAAATGATATTTTTTTTCCCTTAAGGTCTTTGAGATTAATCGTTGTTGTCTTTATCTTACTCTCTTCTGTTGTGGGAGGAAGGGTTTAGCTCACAGGTCTGGTTATGGCCTGTTACAGTGGAGAAGTCGGTCAGAAGGAGAGAGCGGGGAGCACATGCATCACAGAGCTCAACTTGCTCCCTCTGCTGTAGACATTCCTCTGCTTAGGGCACAGTGCCTCCTGCAGTGGGTGGGGCTCCTCCCTTCAGTTAAATATAATCTAGGTAACCCTCTGTGACATGCCAAGAGGCCCATCTCCTGCATGGTTTTAGCTGTGTCAGCTGACAGCACTGCCCCTCACAGTCTGTGGACAGTCACAGGCAGGACATCTGGAGTAGCAGTCTGGTTTTGCTGAAGGGGGGAAAAAAAGATTGAATCCTGTGGTGGATTGCTTCCCTGAGTCAAGAAGCAAAATGCTGCAGATTACATATAGAAATAAAGGAGATGACCATGAACATAAGCGTTTCCTAAAGAGAGCATACAATTGATAAAGATACGTTAGTTTATGTATTTAGTCTCTCTCTCTCTGTCACATACATACACACACACACACACATGCACACTCGCTTTCACCCCCCCCCCCACTCCCAACCCCCCCACTCTTCTGGAAAGCCAGAATTCCAAATACAAAGTTACTAAAAGTCAGCCATTTTAAGGCTTCAGACCCAGGCCTGTACTGGCCTAATTCATGATTTTGAGAGTAGCTTAAAGAATTTTAGAACTTTTAAGATTATTCCAAAGGTTCAAGTGACCCGAAGGTAGACAAATCCTGAGAATAGAGGATTCAAGCCAGTGGTTCTCACCCTGTGGGTCGTGACCTGTTTGGCAAACTCTATCTCCTAAAAACATTTACATTAGGATTCATAATAGTAGCAAAACTAGGGCTGGAGATATGGCTCAGAGGTTAAGAGCACTGGCTGCTCTTCCAGAGGTCCTGAGTTCAATTCCCAGCAACCACATGGTGGCTCACAGCCATCTGGTGCCCTCTTCTGGCCTGCAGGCATACATGGAGGCAGAATGTTGTATACATAATAAATAAATAAATCTTTTAAAAAATAGTAGCAAAACTACAGTTATGAAGTAGCAATGAAAATAACTATGGTCGGGGTCACCACATGAGAAGCCATATTAAAGGGAAGCAGCATTAGGAAGGTTGAGAACCACTGCTTCAACTTTAACAGATTATTGGACTGGTTCGGGGGGACAGAGAGCTCAGTGAGTAGACAGGGTTTAAGAGTCCGTTTTTTGGTCTTGGAAAAGGGCGAGAAAAAAAGCTCAGTTAAGGTAGGCAAGACGGCTTTCCTACCCTTTCAGCCATGTATGACCACGCTTCAGTAGACCTTGCTAGCCTATAAAGCATAAACAGACAAAACTGGTTTAATTAGTAGATGCACTTTAAAGCTTAAGAGAACTTTTTAAATTTTTTAATTGTTTTGCTTATAGAAAGGAATGCCCTGGTGTGGTAGCATGGGGGGCCAGCACTGTTTTTTGTTTGGTTGTTATACAGTTGGTTGGTTTTATCCATAAGATAAAAAGTCTCAGAAGAGCTGAAGGAATTTAGGAAGGACATTTGTTCTCTGCCCACTTTAAATCCAGGATTAATTCTGAATGAAAGAAGACATAGACTCAGGTGGTAGACTGTGCTGTGCTTGAGAAGCAGTGAGCTCAGGTGATTAGGGTGCCCAGCCCGAGTCTGAATGTCAGGAAGGTGGTAGAGGAAGTTGCATTGTACGGGAGAGGGTACACTAGATTATTTTGAAGGCCTTTTTTAAATTCTAAAAGTTTTAGCTATGGCATAGTAAACTGATTTATTACAGATACATACTGTTCCTGTTGAATTAGTAATAATATGTAATGTGTGTGTGTGTGTGTGTGTGTGTGTGTGTGTGTAGGCACATGCGTGTGTGCGCGTGAGCATGTGCATATGGTTGATGGCAGGATGTGCTCCTCAATCGCTTCTCACCTTACTTTTTCAGACAGGATCT